TGACGGCACATGTGTGTGATCTGTTCCGTTAGAAGGTGCAGCTCGATGTTATAAGACTGTTCCATTTGTCGGATGTTGGTTGTGGACCATCATTATAGGGCTGTTCAATTTGTTGGATGTAGAGTGCTATTCCTAAAGAGGTGACCAAGAAATAAATAGTTGTATATGTTGCAGAATAGCACAACCTCAGAGCTTAGGAGACTCTCTCGGAGGTTTGTATGAAATAAGTGTATGTGCGATTCTCAGGAATAAGGGTCGTGGAGTACAGTCTAGAGCTAGGAATATACAGCTGATTTAGCGGCGGAAACATGCGCATATTACCACGTGCATCAACGCATACTACATATGTGTACACACGTGTTTGTATATCTATATCTATATATATATATATATATATATATATATATATATATATATATATATATATATATATATATATATATATATATATATATATATATATATATACACTAATGTGTATGTATAATCAACAAACGAACGCAACGACACCAACGCTATTAAACCTGTACCAACACACAGAGATCCTCGCTAGTACACAAAAACTCACAAACATGCACATCAACACACAGTTAACGAGGCACACGTCGGGTTTTAATAAAGCTTACGACTAGACTCTTGTGTGTTTACACGCGCATGCAGATTGAAATGACTTTTGACACCCGCTAATTAACTAATTACGACGCTGATCGTGTGAGAAAGTGTAGCTTAATTGCGCCCTTCTCTCGCATAACGTCCTGAATAACCCTAACTGCAAGACATTCGTTTCTTTGTTTCTGGCTTAAAAATACACTTGTTTTCTTATTTTTGGCGAAATTTTGAAGGACTCGATACTCTTAAAAGAAACTATAAGATCTCTTTAGTTTTATCTGCTGTTTAAATTGAGCGCTAACAATATCGTTATGGGCTGCTGGTTTTTGTGTAGCATTGATCAGACGACATGGTCGAGTGGTAGAGTGTACGCCTGCTAAACCGCGAGTCTGGAGTTCGGATCCTTGGGTTTAATCCATAACACACACCCTAAGCCCATCCATGACTGAATAATCGGACTGGTGACCTTGAAATCATATGCGATTGGGGGAAAGCTTACCACACCATCCTTCATTCGATCACAGAAACAGGTGGACTAAAATTTGTGATGTCATATTCGTAATGATTATACAATATCAAAAGGGCGTCATGTGTACTGACTATACAATATCAAAAGGGCTTCATGCGTTTACTGACTATACAACTATACAATATCAAAAGGGCGTCATATTCGTAATGACTATACAATATCAAAAGGGCGTCATATTTGTTCTGTTTATACAATATCAAAGGGGCTTAATACGTATACAGACTATGTAGTATACAATAACCTATAGGAATTCATATTTGTACTGACCATACCGCACCAACTAAATGCTTGACAACTCGAAAAGGCACCAAACCTCTTGATGCGCGTGGACCCAAGTTCCATTTGATGCGCATGTACCCAAGTTCCACCACAGAAACTGTCGCGATTAAAGATCTGACACTTAAACTCTTTATTTACACCCATACCTGATTCTGTCTTCCACACACCGACCTCCTCTGTTGGCGACCAAAACAAAATTCTAAATTAAGACCAGCGGTACAAAGAGAACACAATTTTGGACGGATTTAAACTTCGTCGTTGTCAGGAAAAGGAAACAAAATAGCAACGCTCGTTTCCGCACGGGTGTTTATTCCAGGATAGTTTCATTACCCTGCACCGCTCTATTTTTAGCCGGCGGCCGAAGGGATCACAATGAGTTTGTGTTGCGTATGTCTACCGGTGAACAACCGGTGTCTTGTTAACGTGGTCACTGTTTTTAAAAAATCTGCATGAAAGGCTTATTGTAAAGGCCATCTTACGTAAATGAAATGTTCACATTTAATATGATGAATTTCATTTTTATTCATGCTTGCCTGCATATATTTCATCAATATGGGCAGTGTGGACGAAGCTATTTTCGTAAGGGTAGTTTTTTTTTAATGCAGGAGATTATTTATAGGTGTAAGGTATACAAGAAGAAGGGGTGGGGGTAGGAAAATGCCTCGGGTGCGTGAATCGCTCATTCACCTTTACTTGGCACGCTCCCCATTGGTTGAAAAATATCGCCCGCCAGCACACCCTTACGATACCAATACGCCAGCGCAACTAATTGGTAAATAACTTGTTCGATCCCAAGGTTTAGTTTCGATCTGTTATTTTTAATTCACTTCTACCCCTGTATATTGTAAACAAGATTGGGCCTGAGCTGGGGTTTTTTTTACTGACCTAATTATAGCAGGAAAAATTTCAGTTGGATCATCCACGCAACACCAGCGGAATCGATACCTCGAGAATTCCCAAGCTAAGACCGTGTGTGTTTTGGTGGATGTTTTTTTATCTTTAAATATCGGAGGAAGCTGCGCTGGTGCTAGAAAGTGCTGTAGTTACAGATGTGTACTCTAGGCTTGCTTTTGCTTGTGTTTAAGTTGTGATAGAAAACAACATTTGGACTTGTTACTTTATTTGTGTTGTTCTTGTATCGGAACCAGAGATTGACTTACCCAAGCTGTATTTTATTTTTAACTTAGGAATTTTTCTCTTGATGAACTTTTATATGACTATTGAATTATCATCATCTTTTCTTTTTCGTGTTCAAGACACATGGTGCCGCATTGAACTATATAATTATTAATTAAATAGTTTTGTTAATTTGTGTGTGTGTGTGTAGTGGTGTGGCGGTGAAGACATTGTGGCCAAAAATTCGACCTAGGCCATGATTTTTCTGAATGCGGCAATTTTCGTTCCTACAAACAAAAGTTTTCCACTGGTGAGTAGAGCCAGTTTGTTGTTTGACTGCGGTTGTGATAGTTAAGAGTTTACCATGTGATACGTTAGTTTATCTTGTGACACTTTAGCTTACCTTGTCGAATGGCACCGTACATTACAGAATGCCAAGCGAAAAATAGCATAGTGCAACGATTGTCTTTGTTGCCTAAAGTTAGATATTTTATTTTAAGGTGATACCTATACCCCGAGATCTTTTTATTATTATTATTGAATTTCAGCTGCAAATATTAAATGTACCATTTGTACTACAATTAACAGACAAAAAAAAAACATGTTAGATTTGAAAAAAAATATTTTTTACTTTTATTGTGTTTTTGTTAGTTTTAAAATTCACAACAAAAATCAGAAACTAGTTAATAAAAAAACTAGTTAATAAAATTCAATGAAACTGTGCAAAGACACGAAGAATAATATTATAAACAATATTACATACACAGATTTTCTTTAGAGCTTACATTTTTGTCACTAATGAATTTTTTTTGTCTCCCTTATTTCTGCCCCTACAAGATTATCTCCCTTTTGTTATCACTGTTAAAAATAACTATCTTGGTAATAACATTAAACAAACCATTGTTGCTGTTCTATCATGTCATTACATACAACAGTACACTTGTATTTTGACATCAAGCATAACAATGTACTTGTAACTAGACATAAAACAAAATATTTGATATTTGTACATGATCTCTCGTTGAATTATGACCTTACATTACATCTTTTTATCACGACCTAACATCGTTGTATCATGACCTGACGTTGTTAGTATCTTGACCTAACGTTCTTGTATCATGACCTAACGTTCTTGTATCATGACCTAACGCTCTTGTATCATGACCTAACGTTCTTGTATCAAGACCTAACGTTCTTATATCATGACCTAACGTTCTTATATCATGACCTAACGCTGTTGTATCATGACCTACCATTGTTGTATCATGACCTACCATTGTTGTATCATGACCTACCATTGTTGTATCATGACCTAACGTTCTTATATCATGACCTAACGCTGTTGTATCATTGTCTACCATTGTTGTATCATGACCTAACATTGTTGCCTTCCATCATGACCTAACGTTCTTGTATCATGACCTAACGCTGTTGTATCATGACTTCCTATTGTTGTATCATGATCTAACGTTCTTGTGTCATGACCTAACGTTGTTAGTATCATGACCTAACGTTCTTATATCATGACCTAACGTTCTTATATCATGACCTACCGTTCTTATATCATGTCCTCACGTTCTTGTATCATGACCTAACGTTCTTGTATCATGACCTAACGTTCTTGTATCATGACCTAACGTTCTTGTATCATGACCTAACGTTCTTGTATCAAGACCTAACGTTCTTATATCATGACCTAACGTTCTTATATCATGACCTAACGTTCTTATATCATGACCTAACGCTGTTGTATCATGACCTACCATTGTTGTATCATGACCTAACGTTCTTATATCATGACCTAACGCTGTTGTATCATGGCCTACCATTGTTGTATCATGACCTAACATTGTTGCCTTCCATCATGACCTAACGTTCTTGTATCATGACCTAACGCTGTTGTATCATGACTTCCTATTGTTGTATCATGATCTAACGTTCTTGTGTCATGACCTAACGTTGTTAGTATCATGACCTAACGTTCTTATATCATGACCTAACGTTCTTATATCATGACCTAACGCTGTTGTATCATGACCTACCATTGTTGTATCATGACCTAACGTTCTTATATCATGACCTAACGCTGTTGTATCATGGCCTACCATTGTTGTATCATGACCTAACATTGTTGCCTTCCATCATGACCTAACGTTCTTGTATCATGACCTAACGCTGTTGTATCATGACTTCCTATTGTTGTATCATGATCTAACGTTCTTGTGTCATGACCTAACGTTGTTAGTATCATGACCTAACGTTCTTATATCATGACCTAACGTTCTTATATCATGACCTACCGTTCTTATATCATGTCCTCACGTTCTTGTATCATGACCTAACGTTCTTATATCATGACCTACCATTCTTGTATCATGACCTAACGTTCTTGTATCATGTCCTCACGTTCTTGTATCATGACCTAACGTTCTTGTATCATGACCTAACGCTCTTGTATCCCCCACAGGTCATCAGCCATGGCAGTGAGGACTCCCTAGACAAGAGGTCCAGTCTACCTCGCATGAAAAGTTACGATGCTGTTGTTTTCGACGTACTTCGGGTATCCCCGGAAGATTTTGCTGTAAGTCACGTGTCTGTAGCATCATGTGACCAGGTCACGTGTTAAGTGGCCAGTGTGGCTATCTGTGTGATGCACGTGTCTGTTGTTTGGTTGTCTTAAGTCACGTGCCTATAGGTTGTGTGGCGCGAATCGATACGTTCGTGTATTCTGGTTCAAATTTTACTTTTCAAGCAATTAATTACGGCGCTCGTCAATTAACCATACCGACATAATCGTAGAACCGGTATTCGCGATTACAATACTTATTTCCTAAAGCAGGGGTCTCCAAACTACGGCCCGCGGGCCGGATACGGCCCGCGATGTTCTCTCATCCGGCCCTCGGAAATCTTTTTGTCCACGGAAAAGAACATTTGTTGGTGATGGCTGAGGAACTTTGCCCAGAAAAATCAAAGACATGCGTGAAAGAACCTGGCCCCCGAACTAAAATTTGATAGTGAATGCGGCCCTCGGACTGAAAAGTTTGGAGACCCCTGTCCTAAAGTATCGATATTGGCAGTACCAGTTGTACGAACATGTCGGAATGTCTAATCAATATGACCGTAACTTTAAAATCGTAGCCATTTGACCACTGGTACAAACCCCTTCTTGTGGCAGAGGAAGTAGAGTTTGCTACTGCGGCAACGACAGGGGTTGTGCAACCTACCAATGCCGACTCTTTTTACCAAAAAAATAATAATAATAATAAATAAATAAAAATAAACGTGTTTTTGGCGCTGTCATTTGGCACACGTTCGTGTGTTAACTCGTATGCACCGGCGCAGATGGGGAAATTCCGATTCTTCAGGTCGGTCGTTCACGTGCACCCGTGTTAAACAATGCTTAGGTGGAGGGGGGGGGGGGCACACAGGTGGGTTACATTGGATTTGGAATGCAGAGTCAGGTGGAAGATGCATCTAGAAGGTGGGGGAGAGGGGGAGGGAGTGGAGATCGATGAAAGCTTGATCTGGGTAAGTGGGACGCAGGAAATTGGGCAGGTTAGGGAAGATGAATGTGTTCATGGGGGGGGGGGGGGTAGTGCTGTTCCTCTGGGGAGATATAGAATTTACGGGTTCAGTCCCCTTTTTTAAATTTTCATAATGGCACAGTGGACTGGACAACAAAAGCAGGATTGATTTGTTAAAAATATGTGTGGGGACGATTGCAGTTTTTTATTATACCATAAGATTCTATTTACTGCCGAATTTTCAGAAATAGATAAACTCTACTTCATCTTCACATATTAGCCGTCTGCATTTAACAGCAATTTTAGTGTTTATTTTCAAATAAGATTAAATCTTTATTCGGTTACAATGTAAGTGTTCTAACTGTATTAGATAGACAGACAGACAGATAGATTGATTGATTGATTGATTGATTGATTGATTGATTGATTAATTGATAGATGGATAAATAGATAGATGGATAAATAGATAGATGAATAAATAGATAGATGAATAAATAGATGGATAGATATAGGGATATACAGGGCCATATATATTGTGCGATATGTACTATAGTTAACACTATTTTGTACTAAATAAAAACTTGGTTCAAAAATGTAACGCAGTGTATACATCCCTTTGACTGCAAGGTACACAACTTGCACCGGTATTCAGATAACTCGCTTACCTCCCCGTATTTTTCTGTAAACAAACCCCTACTCACCCCCCGCTCGCGTGTAATCAAACATTTCCGCGTCCCGTGACTTATTTCCCCTGAATTTTGATGGAAGCCAGGACGGCAATTAGTTAGAAAGGCCGCATTGGTTTGATAACAGGGGCGATAATTGCACGTGGCTGGCTGCACGGTCTGATGAAGAGTTCCGACGTCCCCGCGTGTTATTTTTAAAGAAATGCAAATGTCTGCGGTTAAAAATAGCCTGACCTGATTTTTGTGTTGACATTTTAACGGTTTATTGGATTAACCGGGCTGTATGTAAACAAATTAATAACTGCTAGATGAAAGTAAAAATTATACCCTTAGTTGACAAGACAGGGGGAGCTACTCTTATTTAATGACTCAACTTTCAGTTTCGTAACTGCATGCACCTCACTCCCCCAAACACCATTACACTTTTTATTTCTATTTTAAAACCTTTAACTGCTCTGGACCTTGAGTTAATATTTTTTTTAATGTTTTGATATTTACATAAGCCATGTTTTAATCAATCATTGTTTCTTTTTGACAGAGTCAGATAACTCTGCTAGATCTACCTGTGTTCAAGGCCATACAACCAGATGTAAGTGCTAATCTTTACACAATGTAGGAGGGTGGGACACTTGTTAGAGTAAAATAGTGTGGGGTAGTGACTTGGGCAAATTTCCTATCTATTTACATAGGCGGCAAGGCCTGTATCATAAAAATGACATTGCCCTTGTAAATGATATATTTGGATGGAGATACAAAGGGTTTGTTTTGTTTTTCTACATGGAAAATGCTTTGTACTTATATAATATATAATCTCCCTCTGGACTATGTTATACCCCCTCACTGTACTAAGGTGTACCATATAGTCTCCATACAGGCTGTACCCCCCCCCCTTCACCACACTGTACTGTGTTGTTCTTCCCCTCTGTACCATAGGATCCTCACCTACACAGGTGTACCACCCCATGTTCCCCCTCCTAACTGTACTGTGTAGTACCCCAGGACCAACCCCCTAGTACTATTCTCCAGCAAATGTCACCCCCCCCCCCCCCAATACTGTGTTGTACCCCCACATCCCAGCCCCTAGTACTGCCCTCCAGTAAATGTCATCCCTCCCCCCCCCTCACCCTACTGTACTGTGTTCTACCCCCCCCAGGACCCACCCCCTAGTACTGCCTCCCAGCAAATGTCACACAGCTTTAACACTGTAATCTTTCTCCCTCAGGAGCTGACATCATGTGCTTGGACCACCAAAGAGAAATTGATCAAAGCGCCCAATGTGGTAGCTTTCACTAGGAGATTCAATCATGTGAGTGGCCAGATACGTTCTCACTTTAGCAGCCAAATTCTATATTTTAAACTCTAAATAAAAGAGCTGTTTGGTACTAAAAAAAAAAAAAAAATACACATACAGTACTCAAACAGTTTTATGTTTTCATCTCATAAATAGACCTCAGTTAGAGGAATTATGTTGTATGTATGATGTTATGATCAACTTGAGTTAAAGAAGTTGTGGTTATTGTTTTCACATACAACAGCTCATAAAAGATTTTCAACTTTTGATTTTCAGGTCAATTTTTGGGTCCAAAAAGAAATTTTAAATTGTCAAACTTTGAAAACAAGAGCAGAGGTGTTGGCACATTTTATAAAAATCGCTAAGGTAAGTTTTGCCCTTCATTAGCTGTGGTATCTCTCCTATTTATATACTCTGTAGTCATTTTTGTGATTCTTCTTCTATTTCATAATTGATTCATTCAACGCACATCTTAACTTCAACTTAAAAACTGACTCAGTTCTTATTTCCGGGTGTGTTCAGTTATACATGTTGAATACCTGTTGCAATCTATTTGACGAAGATTTTACAAACCTATTATTTACAAGACTTTATTTAAGCTATGACCTAATGTTAATAAGCCCGCTGAAATAATGTTTGTAACTTATTCTAAAAGCTCATTAACTTATTGTTAACGAAAGGATCAAATATTAATGAATTGTTCCAGAAACTCCATGACCTGAACAACCTCCATGCAGAGATGGCGGTCATCTCAGCTCTACAAAGTGCGGCCATATTCAGACTCTCCCATACGTGGATGGTAAGTGTCTCACATACTCTTAAGATCTTACGGCTTGATTGTGTCATCATTGGTTTACGTTAAAAAATTAACCTTTTTTATTACATCTGAAATATTAAATAATTGTTTGTGAATATTTGCTTGTCCTAACTATGAACCAAGCTACTTTTAAAAAATTATCTTTTTGTTTTTATTAATTCTAAAAAAATAAAATAAAAACTGTTTAAATAGATTTAGGAATGGAAAAAATAATTAAAAATAAATCTCTGAATATTTTGCATGCCCTAATTATGAACCAAGTTTTATGGAGTCAAACTTTAAGCAAAGGGGCAATTGTTTTGTTTTTTGTTTTTTTTTCCCTCCCCTGAATCTAAAAATAACTTCAAGGGAAGCAACTTGCCCTTGGCCCCCCACTACCCCTGTTCTTGGCAAGGCAACAAGTTCTTTCCACACAGGTGAAAACACCCCTGGCAGCAACAACTTGTTTATAGAAAGTACTCTGTCAAGTCCTGAACACAAGGCTACCCCTACCCCTTACAAACACCCCCACCACCTATAAACAACCCCCACCTTATATAATCACCCCACCCCTTATAAACACCCTTACCCCCTAATAACACCCATACCACTTATAAATACCCCCACCCCCTATAAACACCCCCACCTCTATAATCACCCCCACCCTCATATAAACATCCCAACCCCTTATAAACACCCCTCCCCCTATAAACAACCCCACCCCTTATGAACATTCCCACCCCCTATTAACACCCCTACACTATATAATCACCCCCTATAAACACCCCTACCCCCTATAAACACCCCCACCCCCTATAAACACCCCACCCTAAAAAAAATCACCCCCACCCCTGACTAACACCCCTAACACTTATAAACATCCCCACCCTATATAATTACCCCCGATTAACACCCCCACCTCTATAATCACCCCCACCTCCTATAAACACCCCCACCCCCTATAAACACCCCCACCCCCTATAAAAAAACCCACCCCATATAACCACCCCCCCCCCCTGACTAACAGAAGCAGCTGCTCTGGTTACTTACCTGGACTATCTCCACCTACTTTAGTCAACAGCTAGGGGAGCTAATCCATCAGAGCACTAACCAGCTTCCTGTCTGGTATCAGGTCCAGGCACAACTTACACATAGAGGGTGGGGGAGGTAGGGGATAGAGCAGTTAATTTTTTTAAAGAGATTATAAAATGTCATCTCACAGCAAAGAGAAGACACCTGACATTTAAAAGCAGGAGCCAAAAAGCAAAACAATGTACTTGGCTTAGATTTTTGTTCTTTTTTTCTTTTTAATGTTCTGTTTTGGAATTTCTTAGCAAGATGTGCATGCCACCAGTTTCAACATCTGTTGAATTTTGTACATGTACTGTCTTGTTGTTAAATGGCTTTAAATTGTCTAGCATTACTTAAATTTATATGTAGATATGCATTTATATGTAGTCTTATTTATACATGTTTATATATATATATATATATATATATATATATATATATATATATCTATATTTATATATATATATATATATATCTATATTTATATATATATATTTATATATATA